AAGATGGAACTTGTAGGAGAACCTCGTCCCCACCACCTTAACACAAAAACCTAACCCAACCCAACCCAACCCAACCCAACCCAACCATGTCTGATCCGTGAAGCCAGGTCCTCGTGCCTTAAGCTGTCCTTCCCTATAATATATAACACATCATCGACTCACCTGGGCTTTATATCTAATTTTTCTAAACCTCTAAGGAGTTTAATGTGTGTTTTTTTGCCCACTCATCCAGGGTTTTTTTTTTTTTTTTAGTTTGCTTTTAAGGTAGAAAACTCACTTTACATAATAGTCTTAAACTCATAAGCTGAGCCTACTAAGCTCTTAACATTTTAGCAGGTTTCTTAACGTACATTATATATTGAAATACACAAAAAATATACACCACTATCCTGTAGATGTTAAAATAAAATGTTATACCTTTTTTTCTAACTCAAGGTATTGTCTTTCCATCGATCTATTTACACCTGGGAAAATGTTCACTCAGAGAATCGACCTCAACTCATCTGCGTCCGTCCTCCTTGTCTTCCAACCACTCTGGATGGCAGAGAAAATATTTCCCAAATCCTATTCAATCCCCAGGATCCCCCTTGTGCGACCTCCGGGTAATCTGCAGATCCCTTTCCCAGATGCTTTTATGCCGTCTCGATCCTGCGTTTACCCACTTCTGTGTCACCTCAAAAATCTTATACTTTAACTCGCTTTTTTTGTCTTGTGTCTTTCCTAGCCATCGTTGCGCCTCCAGTAAATAATTTTGATCTTTTTTTCTTGTTCTTTGGTATTGTTTTAATGTTTGTGGTCATCAGCCATGGTTTTTCACTTTTCTTTTTCTTTTTTACCCTTTGAGCAAATTTTAATTTATCTAAATATTTCTTGAGGATATTCTTGTCTTCTGGTATTCCTTTTTTTATATCTCTTCAACGGCTACAACAAATAAATATTGAGAGATTAAAAGAAAGAATCAATCATTTCCTAATTTCTTGTTCTTAAACATTCTTGCTCCTTTCTCAATAGTCAATCCGCCATGAAGCTCTGAAGAGAAGGTAAAAAAATAAACAGCAGGATATTTTAATTTAGCTTTGAATACCAGGGCCGTAATAGCGATTCAAACAAAGTACACGTCAGAGCGGAAGGTGAGGGAGAGGCTTTTGATCACAACGAACGAAGCAAAAATTTACCTGAGTATTTTCACTTTAGCGACGTCACCAAGAGCTTAAAGTGAATGGATTAAACTCCCGAATAAGATTATATAGAAGTGGAACATAAGAAGATCTTGCATACCTTAACTACACTCGAGCAAGGTGGTTAATTAAAAGAAATTGTATCTTACGCTACATTGTGACCTTGACCTTTGACCTTTTAAACCCCTAAACCATAACACCTCTAGGGATTACTGTGGTATGAATATAAATGCTATGTATAAACCGTATCCATCTTTCGTTATTGAGTTAGGCTAATGATATATCGTCAGACAGACATATACAGTCGGGTGGTCATCTAAGTGACTTACAGTAAACTCTCCCCGTCAAGAAACTCGGGAGACTTAACCAGTGGAGCGAAAATTAGGACAACTTTTCACTGTCAAGAAACAGGAATGAAGGTTTTAATAAGTGTCGGCTGAGTGACAAGCTTTTCTCAGGAATACTTAATGACTTATAACACTTAGAATATTCATAAGAAAAATGACCATAATAATAATACTAATGATGATGATGATGATGATAATGATGAAATAAATTATAATATCCATCTGGGAATGAATAAAGATGACAAAGAGGAAGAACAGGGAGTCTTGTGTGAAGAAAATGGCTTCATACTTCAAGGACGAGAAAATTCTTAAGGGAAGAATCCTGAAGTAGGTATGAGAGTGAGGGAGGAGAGAAATCCGGAGCTGGCCTGGAAAGTGATGGAGACACTACGTCAGCCCTGGAGAGAGAGAGAGAGAGAGAGAGAGAGAGAGAGAGAGAGAGAGAGAGAGAGAGAGAGAGAGAGAGAGAGAGAGAGAGAGAGAGAGAGAGAGAGAGAGAGTTAATATCACACTTCCCTTTGATCAGTGACCTCATTAATTATAACTTATACTAACAGTGATTTTCTCTAAGACCTTATTTATTTAGGACAGGTAAACTTGGCTGTATATATATATCTATGGAACCCGAATATGGAATAATGATCTGATCGATTCACTGGATTACATGTTCACTGTTATTCTCCCTACGATCACTCTCCAGTTCGAGTAAAAGTTTGGGATGAAGGGGAATTGAGAAGTGATGTCTGTAGGGAGGGAGTGGCCAAGGTCAAGGGGCTTTTGCTGTTTCCTTCTGTTGCTGCTGGTATGTCTTTTGTTGCTGTTGCTGGAATGTCTTTTGCTGTTGCTGGAATGTCTTGCTGTTACTGGAATGTCTTTTTACTGTTGCTGGAATGTCTTTTGCTGCGGCTGGAATGTCTTGCTGTTGCTGGAATATCTTGCTGTTTCTGGAATGTCTTTTGCTCTTGCTGGAATGTCTTTTTGCTGTTGCTGGAAATCTTAATCTGCTGCAAGAATTTTGTATAAAGTTACTGGAATTTATTTTGAAAATGGAAATGTCTTATTTTACTTTTGTACTTCTTCTCCTTTGGCTTGGGTATTTTATCTGTTGCTGGAATGTCTTCTTCTGTGGTTGGAATATCCTCCCTTCACGTCCACCCTCATCGCATATCATCCAGGGAGGGGAACAAGACGTTTCAACTCGGCTACACAGACCTTGAACAAATCAAGTGAACCAACATTGATTCCTTGGACTCTATACTAAGAGCTTATTACGCCCTTAGGTCGGATTATCAAGGTTCACTTCGCTTTGTAAATTATATAAAAACAAACCAAATTGATTGACTTAATGTAGATAATAAAAAGGACTCTCAATATGGAACCGAAACCTACATGACTACTGCAAATAAATTGTTTTCTTTAAAGAGGATAAAAGTCATATATTGAATCCTTGTAAAGTCGATCTCTGGATAACCCTCACCTTCGTTCAGTTAATAGATATACAGTAGAACAAAAAAAAACAAAATATATCAAAGGAGCTGAATTAACTTATGACTGATTGTTGCCAGTCATGACTTTACATTTTTCTTTGGCAAGCTATTTTTCTAAGTCGATCTTCGCAATGCTGATGCCATATATCGCCTTTGCAATCTCCAGCCATGATATTTATTCTCTGTCTCTCATCCACACTTCACATAGCTGAGTCTTTCTGCCGTGTTGGCTACTGATAGATAGTGTTCTTTCTCGGCAGCACCTGTACCTCGGTTTAATTTTGCTGCAGGTGTATACATAACAGCGAGGTAGTGTATGATGGAAGCTCTGTGTTCTCGACAGTGAAAAAAAACATGCAGTGATGGTTTTAAAAGGAGCATTTTAGGTGAAAAGGGGAATATTTACTGCAAAATACCGCTAAGCCCACCACGGGAAGATAACTTGTTTTTGAAGCTATTTTTTTTAGTAAGAAATAAATATTTTAATTAAGTGACAATAATTTTGCCAGAGTGATAGTGTTGGTGAAGGTGCTAGGAAGAGAAGTCATGCTCGTCTTTATGGGAAATGACTATTGTAATCAGGAGTCTCACAAGTCTCTCACACTGTCATACTCGGTTTGTGGTGCTGCTTTTTACAACATCCACGGTATAACTGACAGACGTGTAAGGCCAAGGTGTGGGTCACTGGACGGTGGAGGGGGATAAGCGGTGGACAAACACTATTTAAAGAAGATCACTGCCGAGTTATTTACACAGGGCTTCTCTTCACCCTTTTGAAACTTAAGGGTTATAAATGTATTAATTTTTATATACACTTTTGTATAGTAAGGGTTTAGTGAATGATATTATATCCTTTATACATACAAGGGTTTATTGGTAACCATATACACTCAAAAAAACTTTTCATAACCTTTAACAGTGTATGGTCAAGAGGCCATTAGATACAAACATTCGGTAACAAGAGGACTCTACACTACACAGTACACTGCACTACACTACACTACACTACACTACACTACACTACACTACACAGAGACCATCATTAAGTCAGTTGGATATCTTGTGGATTCAATTAATTACAGTTGTTGTTGTTGTGTTGAGTTGAGTTAGGTGCTGCTTCAACTATCAAAGCCACGAGGCACTGAGCACAAGTGTCAGTTTCAGACGAGACACATCTGTTAAAATGCCAACCTAACCTAACCTAATGATAATACTTTGGATAGATTATTGTTGTTGATGTAGCAGTTTTAATTTGACGTATTTTGACTGCCAGAGGACAAGTATTAGCCACTTATAGAAAATAACCTTGACAAGATAATCAGGACGGCAGGAGCTACGTCATTCTTACCATCTAATTAGGCAGTATTAAGAACAGTGGCAGGTGTTTGCGTACCAGGTGTAATAGTTGGTCTCTCTCTCCCTCTCTCTCTCTCTCTCTCTCTCTCTCTCTCTCTCTCTCTCTCTCTCTCTCTCCTACACTTAATGAATCATCTCACACACGCAGGAGCATCACGTGACGAAAAAGCCTAACATAAAAACAACAATTTCCTCAACACACACCAGATAGCTGCACTCAGCGGGGTCTAACCTGCTAGTTTTACGAGCATTAAGTCACTCAGTTGACCTCTTGTACGAGCATTAAGTCACTCAGTCGACTCCTTTTACGAGCATTAAGTCACTCAGTCGACTCCTTGCACGAGCATCAAGTCACTCAGAGAGCCCCTTGTATGAGCATTGTCACTCAGCGGGCCCCTTAAAACCTCCAGGCAATTAATGATGGAAAAAATTATCCAGTTGTGCTATGAGTGGAGGGTAACCTGGCACTCGAAATGGGGGAAGACAGTGCCAGTATGGGTGAAGTATCGCCAGGAGGGGAAAGACTGAGAGAGATTAAGATAGAGGGAAGGGTTGGAAGGAGAGAGAGAGAGAGAGAGAGAGAGAGAGAGAGAGAGAGAGAGATACGAGTCTTCACCAGGTACAGTACTCACCTGTGTTGAACCTGTGGGTCTCCAGGGTACCCTTAGACTTGCGGGGCCACTCTGATCGCTTCCCCTCCGTCACTGTGGGAGAGGAGAGTGGTGAGAAGGTGAGGGGTGGGGGAGAAAGATTGAGGTGTGGGGGAGAAAGATTGAGGTGTAGGGGAGAGTGTGGGGGAGAAAGATTAAGGGGTAGGGGAGTGTGAGGAGTATTAGGGAGAGTGATGGGTGAAGAAAAGTGAAGGTTAGTGTAGGGAAATAGTGAGGGATGAGGGAGGGAGGGAGTGAGTGAGGGGTGTGGGAGAGAGAGAGTGAGTGAGGGGTGTGAGAGAGAGAGAGAGATAGAGAGAAAGAGGAGAGAGTGAAGGGTGATGCGGGAGAGAGTAGGGTTAAGGGAGGAAGATAATGTTGGGTAAAAGAGGAAGAGAGTGAGTGAGAGGGGAGTGTGGGAGAGGAGGTGGAAGAGTGAGAGGTGAAACGGAAGAGCAAAATAAACACAGGAGATGTTTTCGCTGGCTGTGTTTACTCTTGCCAGGAAAAACATCCCTCACGCCTAGAGAAAATCATCCATCAATTAGGTCAGGAAAGGTAGGCGTTGGGCTGCTTTAACACAGAAATGTTATGTGAACAAACTTTGCATTCCTTCACCATGACAGGATGTGTGTCTATGAGTCTTTAGCTTCCAGGATACTTGTTCAAGAATTTACGTTTGGTCATCATCATTATCATTATCATTATCATTATCATTATCATTATCATCATCATTATCATTATTATTATCATTATCATTATCATTATCATTATCATCATCATTATCATTATTATTATCATTATCATTATCATTATCATTATCATCATTATTATTATTATTATTATTATTATTATTATTATTATTATTATTATTATTATTATTATTATTAGTACATCTACGGGCACAGGAATATAATATAAAAATAACTTATATATATTTCTTGAAGGAGGAATTGTTACTGGTAGGCCCCTTACCACTTACCCCTTACCACTTACCCCTTACCACTTACCCCTTACCACTTACCCCTTACCACTTACCCCTTACCCCTTACCCCTTACCCCTTACCCCTTACCCCTTATCCATTAACGTACCCTTAATGTATCCTCCTACCCATCCTATTATTCCTCACCCTCGTCCACTCCCCCAGACTCTCTAGCCTCTCCTCCCACCCCTCTAGCCTCCTCCTCTCCTTCCACTCCTCTCCCTCCCCTTCTTCCACTCCCTCCTTCCACTCCCTCCCTCCCCCCTCCACTCCTCCTACCTTCTTTGTACCAATTCTTCCTCCCCTCCCTCTCCCCACCCTTCTTCTTACCATCGTCTTTCCCTACCATTCTTTTTTTCTCCCCATCCACTACACCTCCTTCAATTCTTCTCACAACTCCCTCATCTCTCTATTCTCCCCATTGCAGTCCCTTACATTATCTCCCCCAGCAATCTCCTCATTTCCCCTTTCCACTCTTCCCTCTCGGCTCTTCATTACTCTCCCCTCTCGCCTCCCCACCTCATTCTCATCCCATCCACTCTCCTCTCTCTCTCGGTTCCCCACCACTGTACCCTCTCACCTCCCCACCATACTATATCATTCTCCTCCCCATCACTCCCCACAGGTACCCTCATTCTCCTCCCCATCACTCCTCACTCTACTCCCCACCATTCTCCCCACTCCCCAGAACTTCCTATTAAAAAGCCTTATCTTGTAACTTCGCCCAACACGCGTTCTTAAGTCTTCTCTCAGTGCCTGGTTCTTCATAAGGCAAAACATCGCCACCTCAAGCAGAAGACAAGCGAACATCCGTCTGGTGAAGAAAAAGGGGCGGGGGGGAATGCCAGGCAAAGTTCAGTGCTCTTCCTGCGCCACGAGTGGTTGGCACATAAGATGTTTTAATGGAATTAAAAAATTCGCACATCTTGTGCTGAACTGCATGTTTTTTGTATTTCACATACTTTATTTTTAAGCCAGTCATTCTTTAGAAGGCGAAGTCCCCGCTGGGCTGCCGCTTTCTTCTTGCGGAAGGTATCCACCTTAGTGCGAGACTGAGGGTTGTTTTGCCAGTCAATAAAAGCAGCACGTTTATCATCGATGAGTACTTTGATTACCGGGTCATTTTCATCAAACCAGTCCTGGTGTGTTCTTTTGATCTGGCCGAGGGTCTCTGAAGGTTTTTGTCATAACAGTATTAAGAGTATCCCATTCGGCACTGGGATTCGCGTTGTTTGCTGTTGGGTTGTTTATAAGCCCATGTTCGAGCTGCTCTCTGAAAGCATGTGCTATTGCTGGATCCTCCAGACGCTTAGTATTAAAAACTCTTCTGGAGACTTGCTGCCTTCGCAATTTTGGGGCGACGTGAAGTGAGAGCTTGGCTCTGACGAGTCGATGATCAGTGTCACAGTGGTCTGAGCCACGCATGGCACGGGTTATAAGGACATCTTGGCGACCTCTTTCTCTGACAATAATGTAGTCAATGAGATGCTAGTGTTTGGATCGTGGGTGTTGCTACGTACCCTTGAACTTGTCGGCCTGCCGAAACAAGGTATTGGTGATAGTGAGGTTGTGCGCAGCAAACTTGCTGAGGAGGAATAGGCCGTTGGGATTACACTTGCCTTGTCCATTTCTCCCTATGGTTCCCTGCCAAATGTTAGCATCTCTGCCAACTCTGGCATTTAAGTCGCCAAGGAGCACAACCTTGTCTTCTCTCGGCGTAAAATGTTTGGATCTGATATTTTGACTGTTTTCGACCGCATAAGGATGACCTTACTGGGTGCGGTGGCTCCTCGAAAGGGATGCTCAGTCGCACAGACAGGACCGGATTGCACTGCTGCCTAGATCCCAGTGCATAAGCGACCATCTTATCTGTGCCGCCCATGTGCACAGTTGTGACTAGAGACTCCCGGCAGTGATCTCTGCCTGTCCGCGTCGCCACTCGTCCGTCGCCATAGGACTTTTGATGATGATGGGAGGTATGATGCGCTGGGGGATGGCTGCGTGTGAGTTGATTCATGTGGTGAGGCAGGAGGGCAGGCTGCAGCCACACATCTTGGCTCTCCCCTTTCCTGATCCAGTGGTGCAAGTGCTGCAACGACTGTGGAGAGGGAGAGTCGCAATGGACTGCCGATAGCCCAGTTTGTTGGGTTTCGCCTTAGTAGCCTGTCCATCATACATTGCCTTCGTTCGCCGGTGTAGTCGTTGGGTTTCTACGGTGGTCACCTCTTCCGCCTGTACCGCCGTTGGGGTCTTGTTGGAGCTCTGTAAACATGTCTGCCTGATGCAGGGCTCCACCGCAGATTTTTCCTTCTGGATACACTTCCGCAGCCTTATACCTACCAAGGTTAATCCGCAAGGCAGCGGGGCAATGGTTCGTAGGCGCCAGAACGTGTCCACATGCCAGTGGGCCTATGCGCCGTTCCTCTGGGGCCCACTGCTACACACACACACACACATAAAAAATAAAAATCTCTCTCTCTCTCTCTCTCTCTCTCTCTCTCTCTCTCTCTCTCTCTCTCTCTCTCTCTCTCTCTCTCTCTCTCTCCCTCTCCCTCACATATGTACCAACACACATACACACACAATTTTACCGTGGTCTCGGCTTTTTTTTCCCTCTGTGTAACCTAAAACTCAGTGAGAAGGGGAGAGTTTTATAAAGCCTTTTTGTTAACTGAGAAAAAGAAAATGTTTTGTCCTATACATATATACAGTATACGGGATATGTATATTCTCTTTTTATAATTGGATGTATAGAAAAAAATGGGGGATGATTTTCGACATATGATGAACGAGAGAATGTTTTTGTTTTTAGTTCTTGTTTAGCTGTTCGGTAGTTAATCGAGAATAGAGGGATTTATATAATGGTATTTAATCGTTGTGTGGTTAAGGGGAGTGTAATAGATGAGTGCAATTTATAGTTAGTTTTGATATAGCTTTTCAAATTAATTTTAACCCAAGTCAATTTAAGTGAGCGTAACTTAACCTAACCTAAACTAAACTAACTTAATGTAACATAACGTAACACAATAAATCAGAGCAGCTTTCCTGAACTTACCAAACTTAACCTAACCTAACCTTACCTAACCTTACCTAAACTTACATAATTTAACAACCTGACATATCATAACCTAACCTAACCTAAGAGAAATGTGGCAATGTTAAACACACACATATGAATAACTTAAATTAATCAGATACTTTTACCTTTTATCTACCAATTCCCACAAATTTATCAAAGAAAAAAAATCAAGGAGTGACATCAAACAACGTGAGTCGTCAAGGCTTAGTCAGTCGATGGTCCGTAAACACAACAAACTTTACTGCACTCGAGTGAAGCTCTAACCCACACAGGGAGGCCGAGCTGTAAACCTTCACCTATATTGTACCTTAAACATATTAGCTCAAACGGGGTTGTCATTATCTACTCAGTAATGTATATATGTATTTATGTATGTATGTATGTATGTATGTATGTATGTATGTATGTATGTATGTATGTATGTATCTTTCTCCGTATTTGTCTGTGTGTGTGTTTTTGGGAGAGAGAGAGAGAGAGAGAGAGAGAGAAAATCGTTATCAGTGAGGCTCCCTCAGCTCTGGGTGAGGGAGAGTGGAAGACCTAGCAGAAAGCATCCTATTTATCAGAGACACCGAGAGAGGGGTACTGAAGGAGAGAAAGGTGGGAAGGAGGTGTGAGGAGGAAAGTGGGAAGAAAGTGTAAGGGAGGGAGGTAGAAGGAAGGTTTGGGGAAGAAGGTAGGAGGCAGAGAGGTGAGAGAGAGAAGGGAGGTATAAGGAAATAGGGAAAGATAAATGAAGAGGGGAGGGAGGTAAGGGGAGTAGGGGGAAAGAAGTGAAAAGATCGGGATGACTTTGTGTAGAAAAACATAGGATGGGAGACTAATCGTGTGTGTGTGTGTAACAGCTATATATATCTCAAAACACATATAACTCTACGGTTATTGTCACCCACATTTCACTTACTATTCCCCAGACTATTAATAGCACCTAACCTTTAACCCTTGACCTCCTATAATAAGGCCAGCAATATATCTCCTGGGCTATATATTCC